CAAATTATTATAACAATATTCTCAAATAATTTCATTTTTTAAAATTTATGGGTGGTTCCAGGCATCCAGTGGGTTTGACAACAGCTGAAATGATGATGATTGGTGAGGTTGATGGTGTTAGCTATATTTATTTATTTATTATTAAATTTCATTTTATTGCATAGGGTGACACACCGATGTTCTGGAATTTTTGTTTATTTAAAGATTGATTTGGATTCTAGAATTCTAACATAAAATTATTATAGCGCCACCAATTTTCCACTCATTATTTGCAGTCCTGGATGGACAGTACCATTTTAACGATAGGGTATACAGGAGAGAAGGGATGTTGTTACGTCGTTTTTTGACAGTACAAAGGCAACGTATTTCACACAAAGCGGAGCAACCAGGTGATCAAAACAAAGGGGATCCTGTGCTCAGCACAAGTACAAGGTATTTATATATTAGAGTGCATTTTCTTGTTCTTTTTCTTAGTTATTGAATGATTGTTCTGTATTGAATTTCAGTAAACCAGGGAGTTGTTATAACAACTCCCTGAGTAAACCAATTCTCTGAGTAAACGTACCACTCACTGGGAGAACTGGTTTGGTTTTGTATTATTAATTATATGCCCTGGTGGTATCGAACGAAGAGTAGTCTCCAACGTCAGGTCATGCCTACAGTAGACAAACCTTGACCATCCCACAAACTGTGATCATTTTGCCCTTCTGAGGCACTGAGCTTGGCTGTTGAATGATGCTGTTTAATCAGCTCAGAAGACATGCACTGAATTAACAAGTTTAACAGGGTGCTAAAATTTATTTTATTTCTGTAAAAATTTCAAATTGATCAGTCAAAGTCACTATAACAACTCCCTGGTCAAATAAATAGTCATCAGGCTCGAACCCTCTCCTCCCTGTCTATAAGCCAGGTACACACTACATCTATCGGCAAACACGCATGAAGAACCTTTTGCACAAATATCTAATCAGATTGATACAATCAGCTAACGCCATGTCGTCAAGTCCTGACACACAGTTGAGTCGAATAGCTTGTTGGTATGCCTTCAATCTGTCTTGGGTTCAATTCCTGTCACGGAACAGGATTTTTTCTCTTGACCTAGTTCACTGTTTGGCAATATTCCATGGCCGCTTGAGTCTGTTTTAAAAGAAAAAAGAATAGAAAGAAGCATGCAAAGCGCGATGCACAGAGATGGGTTGACGGTCAGCTGATGTAGTGTTTGCCAGATTTAAGACCTTCCCGCTCTTGAAAACAGACATTCCAACTCTCCGATTTAAATCCATCTAAGATCGAAATAAGCTTTTCAAATTCCCAAATGTTTAGAGCTTTTGGGAATTTACCCCCTAGCACTGGTTCTGGGCAGTTCATGGCCATGCCCACTTGGGTGGTGGTACTGTTGTCGATAGTGGTGTTACAGTGACTTTTGGGATAGCAAACATTTTTGGTGGCGTTGTGTAAACGTTCTTTGTTGGAAAAAGGCATAGTATAAGCACCTTAAAGCATCTTGTTAGATGGATACTGGCACTATACTTCTACATTATTATAGCATTATTATTATATAATATGTACAGCAGTCATTTTTTCAGAATAAACAAAGAAACAAGTTTTCGCAAGTGAGGATTTTTTTTTAAATTAGGGGTGGGGATTGACAGCTAACAAACAATTTTGTTTAGGCCCTGTCTACAGTAGGTCAATTTGTGGGGTTCATATGCAACTTTTTGGTTATTGAAATGGTACATGGTACTAGCAAGGCTGAAAGCCATGTATAAAGTATCACTTTTTTTTAAGCGTGAAAAGACCATTTTGAAACGTACAGTATCGTATACAATACAAGTACAGGTCTCCCCCCAATTAAAGACCACGTTTCTGTGGTCCAATATTAACAATGTCTTTCGATTTTATTATTATAAATAGAGATCAAAGCTGCTAAAGACCATAGAAACCACAAATTTTATCTTAAATTTAAATATTGTCCCTCTTTTCAAAAATGATATTCACCCTTAAAAAGGCAATAGTAAGATTCAGCCATAATTGTTAAATTGATAGAGAGGGAGGGAGGTTTTTTTTTTTTTTTTTTACTAATCCCACCCCCATTTTACCAATGTAAATCAATGGTTAGAGACACATAGGGCCTATATGAGAATGGAATCAAATTTATATTTAAAAAATATGTTTTTGTTGTACAGTACAAGTAAACATATTTGCAAGAAATCCTGAGCTTTTCAAGTGAAAAAAGATGGAAAAGGGACCGTTTGAAATAAAAATATATTATGTTGATTGGAAAAAAAAAAGTGATGAGGGAGAGGGTGATAAACTAATAATTTTTTTATGGGGCCTAAACCTTATTAAAAATGTGACAGCACCATAGGAATACTCCTGAGTACAAACTGTTAAATCATACACCTGTTTAATACATTCACACAAAGGTTTATGAATTTCTAATTTGTCCCCAGAGTCATGTGGAAATCACTGGTAATAATGATTTAAGTCATTATAAAATACTAGAAAGCAAGGAATAAATTGTGGCAAAGACAAGCCAAACCAGTCGCTCGTCGCAAATCCTGTTTCAGAGATAATTGCAAAAACATGCTGGAATGTCAACATTTTGAAATCTCTTTTATTACACTAAACTAACCTTTATATATTTATATATCATGCTATGCTATTATTTTCCCCACTTTATGTTAAAACAAATATTTTTAACGATTTGGTGATGGATTTTGCCTGAGAAATGCCCAAAATTATAAACAATGAAGAACTTAAGCTCCTTTTATCAGACAGAGAGTCAGTCACAAATCATTTCAATTCATTTCATTTATTGCACCATATAAAAATAGTCGTCATGTGGTAGGATTGCCCAAAAGTAGAAAATGAATCTTCTGTCGAGGGCTTTCCTCACACCAACGACGAATAATATACCATATCATGATTCTATATACATAATTCAAACATAATACTCTGACAAAAAAAAAAGGAAAGAACATTAAATTTGATTAAAAAGAACTTTTTTGTGTGCGTGGGGACGAGGGAGATGGGGAGACAAACAACACATGCAGACAGTTACTGTTTTCCTACAGAAATTAAAATTAGCAGACCCTATTGGAAAACATGAGGTTCCCCCAGGTGCTGCCACTTTTCAGGCCTCCTTTTTTTTTCTTGGAGCACTGTCCAGAATATCAAACTTGATTTGACAAAAGCATGCAACATGCTAAAATATGGTCATGATGACATCACATCATGACCATATATAGGCACATCATACTGTACATCACTTTATACAGGCATACAACAGTTTTTTTGTTTTTTTTTATATATCAGTCAGTCACATGACACAAAAACATTTCTTATCCTACATAGTAACACAGTGTTATTAAATTTTACTACCTCCACCTATCAATAAAGCCTCGTTTTGTTTGGTTACCAAGTGACAGCTAACCTGTAGTATCAAGTGATTGTATAATTATTAATTTACGCAGATCCTAATAATATTCAATAAAAGTATATTAATTATGGTGGTGTATTACATCATTTATTTTATCCTTTTTTTTTAAATACAATATAACCATTGTCAGGGTTTGTTTACAAATGTATTGCAAAGGACTAATGAAACTAATTCTAAACAAAATCAAATATGTTTGTCCAACAGTTTTATTATCATAATTTGTATTATATAATACTGATTAAATTATTACATTTAGTATTATCATTTATCAATAATATTTTATTATCAAAATTATGATTGTTGCTATAATAAATTATTATATACTGTATTATGAAATTGTGATCATTATTTTAATCATTTTCATGAACAAGTCCCTGGATACTTGTAAAGATACTCCATAGCATGCCTTCGAATTCATTACTGTAGTTGTTTTATGCTTCATTTTATGATCACTGTACCAATAAGTGCAGGTCCTCTGATCAACTTTCAATCATACACAAATTTTCATCACCTCAAAGACACTACACAATTGTATAGTATATTATTGTGCCTGATGTACAGTGCATTGACTTGAATCACTGTAAAAACATAGTTACTGCACTGTAACCTCAATATTTTTACAAATAGAACACATTAGTTTTTAAGTCATAAATTATGCTAATTAATTTTGCAGTGTTGGATTTCAAGATGTGATTCAACCAATCAGAATTCTTTATATAAAGTGCAGAGAGCTGTTGAACTTTAGTACTCAAAGGCTACAATGCAAGATACATACATTTAGAAAACGACTCATAGCCATTTATTAAGGAACATGTGCTAAATTATTGGAATTATGCTATACCGATCTTATGTAATCTAATTTTATTTGGAACAAGATACTTATACTGCCTTTAATGTGCTCAGGGAAAGGAAGAGAAAATTGAGAAAGCTTGAGGTCTGGATTACATGGCTCTAGAGAGTTTTCTTCTTAAATCATCAAAATTTGCAAGTTCTTTGTGTAAATAATTGAATGAAAAATTCTGCTCCCTCAATCTGACCATGACACAGACTACAACAGTCAGTGGCATATTTAGTGGATGTGTCTAGAGGAGGGTGGGGTGGGGGGAGGGTATTGCACACCCCTCACAAAAAATGCTCATGTTGGATGCTCATGTTGGGATGTTAACCTTTTCAACAAGGATATTCTGTTGCTTCAACAATGTGATGACAGTTTGGAAAAAAGCTAGCTTGAGAAATGATTTGATTTCCCTGTTGGTTCAGATTAGAATAAAATCAGTACTTTTCTCTGTAACATAAGTCAAGTACTTTACTGAACATCCACATCCTTTCTACATATGGATATTTTTAGGTGCTCCAAAGGCCATTGAAATTCATGTATCAAAATTGGCATGTAGAAATAATGAACTAATTAGTACTTTATTGTGCACAACTGAATGTTTTTTAATTGTCATAAAAATTCATACTGTTATAAATACAAGTCTCCCTCTAAATAAAGACAACTTTTGGGACCAGGATTTTCATGGTTAGCAGCTTTGGTCTCTAAATAGAATGATAAAAATAAAAGACATTCGCTAATTTGGGATCACAGAAAGGTGGTCATTAATTGGAAAGGTCTTTAACTAGGAAGACCTGTATACAGTATAATTCTATAATATTCAAACTTGTATTCTTCCACAAGATATGAAAGGAACAGGCACAATATTCCACAAAGGTTGGTTTAAAATTCCTGCAAGTCTCTGCGGAGGTCTTGAATCAATATACTTGAATTGATTCATTACATTGCAACATCCTTATTTATTCATCTTTCATCCTTACTGCATCTTGTGATTTCCTTTACGTAAGAGCTTGCCTGCAATATACATAATGACATTGATTTTAACCTTTACTGTCGTTAATGAAGTGTACATTACTCTAGTCATTTTGTAATTTCATCATTATTATAAATATTATTTTTTGCCATGAATCTACTGTAACTGTATAGTACAGTGTTTAACAATTAGCCCAGAAGGTGTTTATTTTTATTTTTTTGATACTTGCCAAGTTTAGAAAGACATGATACTATAATTTGAGTTACTTTTTAGGCTTATGAAAGAGAGTTGATTTATGTACAGTAGAAAAAATATTAGTAGGCCAATCTTGCATGACTTGGAAGTCTATATCAAGTCTATATAAAATTTGTATTATGTTTGTCATGTCATACCGTGTGAGAACAGTTCCAATCCAGGAGGAACAGATGGAATGAAGGCATGGATGCAAATCGATCAATGGGGTCTCCGAGCATTGGCGGCACATGTGAAGCACACAGGGGGAGCTTAAGGCTGCAATTAGACTCAGCTTTCCCATTACTGGAT